AATCAGATAGAGGGATATCCACAAATTCTAAGAGTGATCGTCCAACTGTAAAGACTCCATCTGATGGAGGAGCAAAGACTATGCAAAGGTGTTTCGGCTCCTTCAAAGACTGCTGATCCTTTCCTTCCACAGACACTAAATAATCGCGAAAGACAGCATACTTCATAAAATGTTCCCCCTGTGAACAAAAATTGCCCAGGCCAACCAAGGAAAATGTCACGCTCCTCGTCTAGGAAGATCCAAGAATATCCAAACAGGGAGAAAATAAAAGTCCGTACTCCCCAGTCCAGAGGGTAGTGAAACAATAGGTGGTGAACCTCTTTTTCCGACCTCTGGCACATACAACATCTATTTGGAATGGTCATTCCCCAACTGCTGAGGTGGTCAATCGTGAGGATCTTGCCTAGCATACGCAAACACTTGCGCCTTAATCCGGACTGTCACCTTCCACATCTTTCCAAATATGGGTCTTTTGTCCAACTCCTCCTTCTCTAGGAGGTACCTATGTAAATCCTTAGCAGTAAAGATCCCCTTTGAATTGCCATTCCAAGCCCTGTGGTCTTCAGTATCGGGATTGATGACCACCTTCTTTATCCTTAATTCCTTATCACCCATTTATCTCACATTCCACGATAAGATTTCTTATGCTATTAAATACCACAAGAGCCACCCCGAATGTTCCTAGCAGTAACTTCCCCTTCACCCCAACCCTACCTTCGTAATTAATTCCGCAAGGACTCTTCAGTTCCTTTGCAAGCTTCTTCTTCTCCACCTTCTTGCACACAACTTCAGCCCCTACTTTCTTGCTATTACCTCTCAATTTCCTGGAAAAGTGCTAAAGTTTCTTCTTCAAAGCCCTCAAAGCAAATCCTAAGAATGTACCAAATTCCTCTATCCTACTAAAGGACCCACTTTGATATCTTGTTCCTACTCCTTGCCTAAACCTCCCTCTTCTCTAGAGAATCTTCTTGATCTTGGAATTGAAGGTATTTCATCATTATTCTCACTGAACGTCTCACACAATTTGGTAAGCCTAACACTCAACTGATTAGAAGCATCGCAACAATCACGAATTTCTAAAGGACCTATACTCCACACTCCCAATCACCTTTAACAATAGCCTGATTGATGTCCTACCCGCGCCCTTTTCCCCACCAGTTTTTGAGTCCGAAGCTCCTTCCAGCATACCTGGAGAGGAATCCTCATCGCAATCAAACCACTTGACCCTTGACCCTGCTAAAGCAATACAAAGGAGAAATGGAAAGAGAAGGAGAGGACATACCTCACGTCGAGTAAATTTGTATGTGCTAGCATGTCTTTTACCACATCTAGCAGTTGTAGGGGATCGGGAAATCCCTCCCTATCCCCCTCAAAAGAAAGAAAGCCACCCCTCGCAGCTTCAACAGAATCACCCCTAAACTCAATCAAATCCTAACAACTGTTGGCCTCACCCTGGAAATACAGACTTAAGAGATGAACTTAGCAGGATCCCTTTGCTTTAACGAATAGCCTGAAGAGGGACAAAAAGATGTCCCAGTCTGTTCACTACTTATGAGAGCACCAAATTATAGCACAAACCCTCACTGCAATCCTTTTGATTTACAGCAGCTGTCTGCCTGTACTGACATATGCATGAAAAGAGAATGCCCCATAGATGATTCTCTGTACACCCCATAAACTGGATACCACTTCCTCTGTAGGAATGGACTCAACCTGCATTGATCTAGCATGAAGACCTAAGGAATCCTCATTAGAACCAGGAACTAATATAACAGATTTCCTCTCTTCGATGGTCTGATCTTCTAACAGTGGAATGAAACCTGCTTCTTCGCATGAATGAAACCCCAGATTGAAGATAGTGTGGAAGATGTCTCTTCCTGGTAGATCACTCCACCAAAAACATTAAAAGCATTGTTTGTTTGGAGGATAAACATTGTTGACTCAAAAATAATTTCTCCTCATTGATTCTAGATAAAAGAATCCAAACCAAAAAGATCCTTAATATATAGTTCCTTGTCAATCAGAAGCCAAAAAAAATATATTCCCCTTTAGTCACAAACCTCATCCTTCACAGAAACACGTAAACTAGAAGAACCCATTCACCTTTCATTTTCTCTATCAATTCTCATCATCAAGAACATGTGATTTGTTTTGGCTCAAATAGCTTCAAAGTAGAGATTTAGATAGCAGAACAAATCAAGTTCTGAATATCTATTAAATCCCAAATGGGATATCTACCAAATTCATGAACAACCTTGTCAAACTCACTCAAAATTTCACAAAATGTGTCAGTCTCAAAACCCAATATTCAATTCTTCCCAAATATTTACTAACAACCAAAGACCCCGCAAATGCTTTCAGATTCTACAAACTAACCATAATCATTAGTCTATTTGATAGCAAAGAAAAAAGAAAGATTGAAAAACAAGGAGAAAACAGAACTCAGAGAGAGAAAGAAACAGAGACTAATCTTCCTTAAATTTAACTGGGTATTCTGTAAATAGATAAGAGAAAACACCAGTTACAACATACATACCTGAGATTAATGGAGTCTGAGAAATGACCCATTTCAGAAGAACAATTAAGAATCATCCTACCTGGTATCATCAAATGATTGTGGGGTTTACCAGGACTCAAAGGCGAAGAAGATAGAAAGGTGTTGTTGAAAGGAATAACCGACATAGCCATCACAACCAGACACCGAAGAATCAAATTAATGAGCTGCCCTCCTTTTGAATAAATTGCCAGCACCTGTTCTTTCTTCTTCTTCTTTAATGATCGAAGATAACCGTGATTTTTGTTGAAGTCTAATCTGTTCTAAGATGTCATTTAATCGGGGCATGGTGTGTGTAAACAAGGCAAATTGCTTTTTTTTTTTTTTTTTGCTGAAATCTGATTTCCTAGGAGTCTGGTTTTATTTATTGCGAGAACTATGCTCCACCATCTCACAAAGCTGCCCTTCAACTGCCATTAACTCCGGTTAATTTTTTTAACTTTGAATTTTTTAAAAAAATTTTCTGAATATTAAGGGTAGATGGGTGACTCTAGGGGTGAGTGAATCTTAACCACGGTTAAAGAGAGTTACAAAAGAGAGACATGTGGCAAGAAAAGGGGAGCCTCGAGAGTCATCGAGGAGGAAGTGATTATTTTCCTTTTTGATTACTTGGCATCATTTATCTAGAATGTCTTGAGTACATCACCCAGGAAAAAGCTTAGGATCCGTTTGGTTCAGATTATTGTAGTCATAAGTAATTATGATGATAAGTTCTATCATGAATAAGTGTTGTTGTCAATAGATGTTGATTGCTGGAATTGTCAATAAGAGATCTAGACATTTCTTAAAAGGGCATTTTTATTATTATGAAAAAAAAGATAATATTTTGAAAAATACATCTCTCAAGTTTAATGGATCTTGTATGCCTTATTGGATGCAAATTTGAGTGATTACAATAATGTTCATAATCTTATAGGTACATAAGCAGTTATGCTCCATAATAATCATCTCCTGCCAAGATTATGGAATCACTAGTTATTTTCATAATCGATTATTACATAATCATTTATGATGAGTTAAACCAAACGTTATTATCGAAACATAATCCAGACATAAATAATTAAGTCTCTAATAAACGCTTGTTTTAATTTGAACCAAACGAGTCCTTAGCTCCTGAGCCCCCCCAACCCCCACATGAGAAGGGACATATGGGCTGTCAATGGATCAGGTCTCATCTGAATTCAATCCAATTAGGCCAGATCCTGATCCTATTATGGATCCTTGAATACTAATCTGAGATCCTTGATTCTATAGTGATCCGGTTCAATTACATTTTATATATATAATATCAATATAAATTTGTACATATATTACAGTACTATTTACAAAATTTTAAACCAGTTCTTGGTATGTTCTCTTGATTATCTCTTGTAATCTCTTGTTTTCTACACAGTAAAATGGTGCGCCGCCTTTCATGATTTTTTCTCTTTAAGGGATTTTTCACGTTAAATCATCTTGCAGTGGGTTGTGTTAATTTTCTATGTTTATTCTCTTTAATTTTCATTTAATAGACATTGACATCGATCCAGAAATATCTAATATATTTTTAGATCCCCGTTCTCAACAATGAGTTAGTGAGTGAGTGAATGCATATCAACCGCTACTCTCCAAACTCAAACTAAGACCACCCATGAAAAAAATTGCAAGAACTCCTTGCTTGTTGAAAGTTGAACCATAAAAAACAAATAAGTTTCACTAGACCCAACTATCCTAAACATGCCCTGACTTGATTTGGGGTCACAAAGTTATGAATCCATATCATTCACATGGTGGGGCCTCACCCTGCAGATGCAACCCGACCCGATAATAGAGTTGAGAAAATCCGACCCAACCCGATTAGCTATGAGCAAGTTGGTGAGTTGAGGGATACGGTCAGAATCTATGAAATTATGTCTTCAGTAATTTGTTGGTCCATCCAAGTTCCTCTAGATTTGGATCATTAAGTTAGCCCCAATTTGTAGCTATGGCTCCATCTAATAGGTGGCCCCAATGAGTGAATGGTCCAGATATATAATATGGGGGTTAAGGTCCATTGAGGATCATGGGTCTCAGGTCGACCAGATTCTGTATTAGTAACATTAGTGGACCAATGCCCACCAGATAACCTATTAAGAAATGGGGATGTAAAATACATCAATTTTCCTTTGGTTTGGACATATTTAAATAATAAACATTCTTGTTTTGAATCAATATAATTATTTCTAAAACCCATCTCCAATAATTCCAAATGGGAAATATCTCCTCAACCACTCAAGATGACTAACAAACAAATTGTGTGCTAGTCAACATAGTATTAGGGTCCGAGTCCATCCTGTACCTAATCAACTTTTTTAGTCATCTGAAGATATCATTCTCCATTCCAATTCATTCCATTTCTTTGGGCATTCTTCCTTGTATTCTCTTGAAGATGGATTTCAAAATTATGAAAAATACAGGACCTTAACAAGGGCATTTGCTCTAGTGGTATGATTCTCGCTTAGGGTGCGAGAGGTCCCGAGTTCAATTCTCGGAATGCCTCATTTTATTTCCTGAGATTTCAAGAATTTTTAAATTTTGGAATATTTCCAGTTCTAATTGTATCTACAATTTTCATTCTGCAAGATTTCCAATCTTCAATTTTCATGTTGTAGCCCAATGGCCTGCAAACAAGATCAACATACCACCTCAGCCCCACGAAAAATAAATAAGAAATTCCTTACCTCTAGATTCTCACAAGCAGAAATAAATAAAATACCACAAAGTGTTAGCTGCCTAGAAATTCAACTGATATAGATGCACATCTTATGCAAATTTCATACAAGATTTTAAAAAAATTGCTAACAAAATAATAGCAATACAGATTTACACATCTATATAAATGCCCATGAACATTCTACTTGCAGTTACATTTGAAATGGGAACAAAGAAAAAAAAACAAATACACTTGACAAAAAAATCAATACAAGAAGTTCGGTGACATGTTACTTGGCCTCATCAAGAAGGAAAAAAAAAGAACAGTAAGCCCTTCCCAAAAACTTTAAAAGACCGCCTTATCCAAACCCAAGGTATGCGATTTACTGAAGGGCTGCTTACACTCGGGTGTCCTATCCCTGCCAACCGGCCGACTGAGTCCCAAAGAAAGGTGCTTGCTGCTACTTCCCACTTTTGTCACAACAGAATTATCCACCACTTCCGATGGAAACTTCTCCAAACAGGGTCTGATTGAAACATTGTCATTGCCACCGCCAAAGGAATCTGGGAAAGTTTCTTTCTCTTTTCCATGTCCACGTTGCTTTTCCAGGTTCAATCCAATATCACCTGATTTCTCATTGTTAGGACTCAGAGATTTGGAACTGCGAGAAAATACCAATTCAGAGGAAGAAATTATACCTTTGGGGTGCAAAGCAGAATGTGGCGAGTCAGCCCCGTAGCTACTACTCGTGTTTAAAGGACTAGGAGGGCTCTGGGTCCTCAAGGACTTCAAAGGGTCCCTCTCCTCTCGACTGCCCATGCCATTGGCTGGCATGGAAGACATGACACCCTCGTCGCTGCTATTTCGGACGAGAATATCATCAGCTGGATTACGGAAAGAAACTTGCTTTGGCCTAAATACTCCCCATAGATAATACTTCCCTCGAAATCCTGCCAAATGATTAGTTCAAGATATAATTATCAAAAAAAATGAAAGAAATAACATTAAACTAGAGGAGTGCTAGCCCCAGTCGCATTTACTCCAAATTGTTCCACAGATGCAAGATTGGATGGAATTGTTTCATATTTTAACAGTTTTAAAAAACCAAAATCAGAGAATGTTTGACATTTGTAGGCACCCAGTTGCGTCTTTGAAAGATTTGCGACCGGGGCTAGCAAAATCCATTAAACTATATTTAGTCTCAATGCAGAGAATAAAGCTTTTGACAAATAAAGGTTATTATGCTTACTCCAGGACTCCTGTGGCAATTGAAGAGATGAAAAGACCAAGAGCTCCATGTTATCAATCACAATTTTCAAGGTGAGGTCATAGTCAATTATCTCTTGTAACAGGCCATCAAAAATTCTCTCATCTCTGTGACAACATTACTACAGTGTAAGAGGAAGCACGTCCATGAAATAAAACTAAAAGATGAATTTTAAAACCAGACAATACCTTTCATATTCTGGAAAGAAATAAAGACCAATATTGTCATCAGTGGGCGGTGATCTGGAGAAGCTCTTGGGCCATGCATCAGACCTTGGAAGCATTTCCACACCAAGCAACCACGGCAGCGCTTTTGCCCCATCACACACTTTTAGGCATGCTTTGCTAGACAAGTGAGCCACAAGTCCAGTAACTCTGCCATACTTTCCATAGCAGCAGTCAAAACACCCACTATCAAGTAAAATAGCAACAAATATTAATAATTCTTTACCAGGTGAGCAAATATAAAACAACCAAGAACGAAAAAATAAATGAAAATCTTACCTCCAGATGGGATCGACGATTGGTTGTGCATGGACATAGTTATGAAATTCTGTAGATGATTGATGGCATGAACCGTTCAATATAGCAGTGCAAGCATCTGGAGCTACTTGAAAGGCTTTAACTTTAGCAGATACAGAATCTTCATCAGAGCTATCCCCATTTTCCAAGATCAACCTTCTCTTTTTTTTTAACTTTTGATCTTCACAATTTTCACTGCAACAGTGCAGATTCTTATCCTCTGCATTTAGGAGAGAACAATCACCTTTTAATTGAGCAGGTTCAGGTACGTTAAACTTCAGATTAACATTGAGAGGTTGTAGGGAGGGGCCATAGTCGCATCCCCACACCTCTGCCTCAGCTAATGAGCAACTGATGTTCTTCGGACTCTTCTTCAGATTAATTCCAACTTCAGCAGCTCGATCACTTCTTAAACTTAAACGTTTACTTTTCCTGGATGGGGACAGACAAAAGTTGTAGAGAGAAGATTGTTTAGTAACCCCTGGTAAACATTGCTCACATGTCCAATTGACATCTTCATCATCAGTATCTGGATCTGGCATTTTATATAAGCAGTACCTGAAGAAACACAGCTAAATACAAGAAGTTAATCAAACAACATTTCAAATACAATATTATATCAAGGGTCCAAGAGTGGAAGTAATCATGTCATAAACTCTTGTACAAACAATGTAAAGTGACAAGTGAAAAAAATTGCAGGTGTGGGGGGCGGGGTGATGCAACATACCGGTGCTCAGCGGAAACCTGACATTGAACACAGTAAATTAGAAGCTCGGAGTAGCCTATGACACCGCATTTCTGACAAACATCTGCCTGCAACAACAAAACTCAAATAGTTATACTGCAAGTTGCACTATATCCATTGTCTATATGCAATAAATACTATTTTAAGGTTCCACACACCAAAGAAAAAGCATCAATTGCGACCCAAAGACAGCCTTGTGAATAGGAGAAACATGAATAAGATTAACAGGAATCTATATTGTTTTGCCTTAATCCTTGGAGATTTTAGTGTTCAAATCATGAGGAAAAGATTTGCGTCAACAAATTCAAACACAACTGCTTTTTTATGACTTCTTTACATGTAAGTTCATGCATTTTGTAGCAGCTATATATAGCTTCATCATTGTTGTCCTAAGTTTCATGTGTGATAAAACTGCATTACTAGTCAAGTGGTGTTCACAACCCATGTCATGTTGGAACAGAAAAGTCAGGTTCAAGTCAGACAAGCCAAATTAAATTGTTTCATGCTAACTACCCAATTATCAGGGGTTAAACCAGACAAGCCAAATTTAATGGTTTCATGCTAACTGCCCAATTATCAAGGGTTAAGTACCACCCACCTCTGATAATCCGTATAATTGTCATAGAGAAACAAAGAACACACAAAACACACACATAAAGAGAGGAGGGGGAGGGCAGAGAAAAAATTTGACAACTGCAACAGTTAATGCAGTAAACTCACATTTTCAGTCAACTATGGCTACTTGAACATAAATATACAAGATTTCAGACAAAAGGCTATAAGCAACCTTGAAAAGCTAAAACTTCCATAACATTTGATTATGAATTGATATCCCGCAAGTCAAATAGTTTGTTGTCAGTCAACTCAACATTTCCAAAGCACAAACTATGGCTACTTGATCACAAATATTGAAGTCTCATCCACGTCCAAACAGGGAATTTTTTGTTACAATAGAAGGAGAAGTTATGTGGATCATCCAATAATTGAAGTCAAAATGCCTTGTAAAAAAGAAGATATCAACAAACTTCTATGAAATGGTTTCACGGGATTCGGCCATTTGTTTGGATTGTGGGATATCATTGAGAAACAGAAACCAGCAAAATAAAAGGATGAATGATTCTGGGATGATAATCAAATTCTAGGTGATATAGTTTATAACAATGCTCCTCCCTCTGCGAAGTTGTTGATGGTGTAACATATTCTGAAGTGCCCACCCTTAAAATAGAGCATCTAAGCACCTATGGAGAGACCTCGAGTGAATGAGAAGGTGGAGCTAACAGTCAAAAAAAAGTTCAAATGCACCCTTATAGAAGCAAGGGTAGTAGCGAAAAGTTCAAGCCCAAAAATATTGCTTGCAAATGTCATACAATAACAAAAAAAAAAAGACCATTAGCATGAACATAGAGAGATGCCAAATTCATGATAGAACAGTTCATGGCATTAAGGCAGAAAGAAGGTAGTAGAGCCATGATGTTTTTCACTATCAGCGCATATTTTCTTACCAACTTCAATGAAGTTGATGCCAACAATAGGTAGCATAGAACTCCAACTTGCCTTTAGTAAAGTCCTAACTTGGAATAAGTTTTTTGTAAAAGATTAGTACTTGTCTATCAAGGAGAGAATCTTCTTGACAAGTAACAACGCAATAACAAACAGTATAAGAGCAGTGTCGGGAATCCATCACTAGCAAGGTAGGCAACCGTCAAGCTCAGGAAGCCAAAATGGTAAAGGAATTTGATGAAGGTCAAATAGAAGAGATGAGATGAGATGAGATTTTTAATGGTAACTACAAGTGAATCCCATGAATAGAATATTTTAAGAGGTGTTTTATAAGCAAGGTTATTATGTATGAGCTATATTGCACAAATACAGACACAAGTATCAGAGTCAAACTCCGATGTGGGGCGATGAACTCATCATAACCCCCACCCCAAAATATAAAAAAAAAATTGAAGACAGGAGGATGTTTAAATTATTTTTATACATTATTATTTGAATTTTATATTTATATGAATATTACAATTAAAGTTCAAAATAATATTATGTGGGTGTCTCTCTTTCTTTTACCTTTTTTTCTTGGGTACTCCACCCCTCTTGTCTACCTCTACCCTGATTGATTTTTCCTATTATAAAAACCAACAATCTCTCCTCCCTCTCTTTTCTACTTTTTTGTGTTGGGTGACTAACGGTTTCTCCTTTTCCCTCTTTCTTCTCCTCGTCCTTTTAATGTGGTTCCTCACTCTCTCTCTCTCTCCGCCTTTTCCTTGTCAATTGGAAGAATCAGTGATTCCTCTAATTGTCTCTCAAGCTTCTT